TGTACTTATAAGAGGACATTAATCTTTTGATCGTATTATTTTTTAATTAAAGTAAAAATATGCCGAAGAATAATTAAAATTATAATATATTAAGTTTTAGTTTTAAAATTTAAAATTGCTTAGTTATGTTATTAAAAATAAAGGTATTTACGTTATCTAATTAATTTTATATTTAAAATATAAAAAAAACCTTAAAAAATAATAATAAAACTTGGATTTAAATATATTTACTATAAAACTTGGATTTATATATATTTAAATAAAAAAATAAAAACTAAAATTGAAAATAAATCAACTAGCTCTTAGATAATTTTAAAATTATAAATTGCATTACCTCGAGGAATGTGAATATAGTCAGAAAGTCTAAAGCCATTAAATGATTAAACAGTCATTTCAAAATTCCAAAGTCAAAGTTGGTATTTATTTTTATGTTTTTAAAATAGTTTTTAAGAGTTTATTTTTTTTTAAATTGATATCTTTAATGTTTTTAAATTGTTTTAATATATTAATATTAAAAATAAAATTTTAAAAATAAAAAAATATTTTAATACATTTCTAAATAAATAAATAAATAACCAGTCATTACCGCTTTATGATTAACTCTTCACTGTGAGCTAGCTGAATGATTGAATTTTGGATACTACAGGAAAATATTATCGGCATCAAAGCCAATGGCGAAACAGTGCCTGCCCTTTCTTTTGTTATTACAGGTTTGCTTACATCTTGCTGCCGCCCACTACATTGTCAAATTTCTTCCCGGGTTTCAGGGGCCTCTTCCCCTCCACCTTGAAACAGGGTGAGCTTCTGACATTTTCATTTACTACTGCATACACATACATAAAAAATACACATAAATTTTGATCAAAATTACGTTCATGTATTGGTGAGCGTGTGGAGTTATCAGATATGTTGGAGTGGATGAAGCAGAGGATGTGCAGCTCTTCTACTACTTCATCAAGTCCCAGAGGAATCCAGAAGAGGACCCTCTATTGCTTTGGCTAACTGGTGGCCCTGGCTGCTCCGCCTTCTCTGGTCTTGCTTTTGAAATCGGTAAGAGAAGAGACATCAGCTCACTCAATTTCATATAGTACTGTAACTGAAACGGACAATCACTATAACTATATATATTGAGTTTATCCAGGCATTGAAGTTTCATGAATTTCCGATGTTTTATATGCGTAGGTCCAATAAATTTTGAGGAAAAGGAATACAATGGGAGCTTACCTACATGGGTTTTGAATCCATACTCATGGACACAGGTGACACTGCCTTTTGTATAGAGCAGGAATTGCTGTGCATTCTTTACAACATTATTTTTATATATGGCCGCGCTTGTTATTAAATTTCAGGTTTCCAGCGTAATATTTTTAGATTTGCCTGTTGGCACTGGATTCTCTTATGGAAGAACCCCACTTGCTCTTCAGAGAAGCGATTCCAAACAAGTTTCGCAAGCTGAGCAATTTCTTCGAAAGGTACAACTTTCTGGTCCGTTTTACGGTTGATAGGAAGAACCTGTGAATTTATTTTAATTATTTTTTTCTTGATTGCGTTATATAGTGGATAAAGGATCATCAATAATTCCTCTCAAATCCAGTCTACATTGCTGGTGACTCCTACTCTGGCATTATCGTTCCAGCTGTAGTTCAAAAGATTTCTAATGGTATAATAACACATTGATCATTATGTTATCGAAATGACAGGGTCTGCTTGCATATTTATTTTCTATATTTAATTGTATTCTAAGCTTTTTGAGAAGACGTAATCGTTAGAAATTATTGAGAAAACTGTGTTTCTGGAGGAGGCATTCAGAATAGACATCCTTTCTTACTGTTTTGCAGAAAGTGATTGCTCTGTATCCCATCCTGTGGAATGGCAGACTAAGGTAGATAGTGTTTGGAGAGTGGAAATAATCATAGCAGGCTTTAGTGCTAGGGTTTAGTGAAAAGATAACTTGGAGAAAATGATATAGAGAAATTATAAGGAGTTGATACAGGGAGATAGAATCCTTATATTACTTCTATTCTTTTCTAATTCGTTCTTGAGATTGAGTGCATTTTTCTTCTAATCTATGATCAATTTGATTTAGTGGAATTCCAGTAGTGTGGTTGGGGGAAGGTAGAACAGGAAGAGGGTTGGCTCTAAGAGGCTGAAAGGGAATCATAAGTTGGATTTTCTCTGTTTATGCAAAACTTGCTGTTCTCAAGCTTTAGAGCTATTGGTTTGCAAAAGGAGTATCCAGGTTCGTGAAGCTGCTGATCTGACTGTGATGGGCTGTCTATTAGTCTCTTATCCTTCTATCATATAGTGTGGATGGTGTCTGTTTCTCACTTTCATCAGGGCGGTGGTTCATGAGATCTCTTGATTACTTTGTTATGCTGAAGCTTGCTACTGCATAGTTTTCTCCTTTGATCTGTTGAATTGAGCACTTGAAATGGTGATGGCAATCATATCAAGAAGCCATCAGCTTCAACAAGATATATTTGTGGGAGTCCTCGACTAATCTGGAGCGTATGGAGTTTTGGTAGCATTCGTTTTTTTTTTCTTTCAATCTTCTGCAGAACTTTTTCATGCAGCTTCTGTCCATTTTGGTGCTTTATCTCACAAATAATCATCATCATCCAAAGTCCTTATCTACATGGAGCTTATGAATGTATGCAGTTTGTTGGAGTCAACATATATGTTAGTACATGAACTTAAATTTAATAAGTCCCTAAAGAGTCACATAGAACTCTATATAAGAAGTGTTTTATAGCTTGTTCTGCAACGCAGTGGACCGCATTGAAAGCATCAAAATGATGCTTTCAATGCGATGCACCACGTTGCCAAATGTATCCTTAGTCTCTGCTTAAGATTAGAAACATGTAGGCACGTACTCAAGTACAGTAAAAGACGTTCTTCCTACATTCAAGAATTTCTCACCTTCTGTTGCTGTTAGTAACTTATTAAGTAACATACTATATGAATGAGTTGTGTTTCCACTATGCATGGTTCCTTTCCTCCTCCCAGATTTTTTTATAACAGTTAATTTATGTCACATATGACATTTAATTGCTTTTTTCCCTTTTCTTGTCTCGCATGAGATTATCTTGAAGCAAGCTGTTCAATGGTTGCAGGGAACAGTGATGGTATCAAACCGCGAATAAATCTCAAGGTTCTGATTATATATTCCATTATTCTCTTTCTTGTTCATACAAAAAGATTGTCATTGATTGCGCTATAAAAAATTGCCTATTTTGTAGCAAAATTACTGGACCAAATTTATTAAAAAAAGAAGAGGAGGAGGAAACAAGAATATACATTGCATACTTACATCTAAGATTTGCTGATGGAAGCGGTCGCTAATTTGTACGGTTGCAGGGATACATACTTGGGAACCCTATTACTGATCCTACTTTCGATTTTAACTCAAGGATTCCATTTGCTCATGGAATGGGACTTATTTCTGATGAACTCTATGAGGTGATC